GCTCTGTTTTTGGACAAAAGCATAGTTTTGGCCCTGGATTTCAGTCTTTCTCTTTGATGTAGAATAGTGGAATAAAAGATAATTTAAAAGCTAGGAAAGAATGCTAGGAGAAAAGATTAAAAGCCACCAGGGCAATGTTCAACACAGAAATCACAACATTGTGTGGAAATCAGCCTTTGAAGCCTTGAAAAATCAGACCAGGATCAATTCAGAACTTGACAAGTCAATAAGAAATGAGGTGTCTGAGTGGTATAAAATTTTACGCTTTCTCTTAGATTTCACTCTCCATTTAGCTTTAAGAAATCTAAGATTTTGAGGCGTGTTAGCAGTTTATGTTCATAAAAAATTTTAATGTTGCTTCGGTTATTAATCTAGATGTAATCTTTGTTTCAATATTATGTTCATATTTGTGTAGGTTTTCATCATCTAGTGGTGATGAAAAACTTAGAAAGAAAAATGCAAAGTCTTGGCAAATCTCTACATAAATGATGTAAAAGAAGAGAAGTTGATTGAATAAAACCGTCATCTAGATGTTCTAAAGAGATCAAATACTTTTGGACAAATAGAATCTCTTTTTTCTATCAAGTTGCTCAACAGAATCTACCAAAAAAGTCTTCAGTCAATATTTCCTCCAATCTGCATTTTGTTTCGCATTTTTAATACAATCCCTTCAGTGGCTGTTGGAGAGCGCTCTTTCAGTAAGCTTGCTCTCATCAAATCCAAATTGCGATCAACAATGACTGAAGAACGCCTTACTGATTTCAATTGAAAATGACCTTGCTTAGATTTTATTGTACGAAAATGTCGTCTCTAGTTTCGCAAAAAAGAAAAAGCTCGCAAAATGAAGTTAGTGTGATCTGAGTTTTTATAATTTGTATTTTCGTTCCATCATATATGACCAAGTTCAAATATAGAATGTTTATGTACAGCGATAATTAATACAAAAATAAATGGTACATAATACACCAATAATCGAATAATTCTTCATCCTGCGTTAGAGTAGTATGTAAAGATGAATGCTAAAATAAACTCTTCTTCCACTAAAACTTCAGAAATCTTCCATTAAAACTACAGAAATCTTCCACTAAAACTACAGAATTTTGATGTTGCTTCTTCCACTTGTTTAAATCTATTCCATGTTGGAATAGATTTAAACAATTTGAAAATTGAACATTTTTATTTAATCTTTTAATTTTTCATCTTTTTTTTTTTTACCTATTAAATAAATTTATAAACTTAACTTTTTTTCTCGATACTCTTTTAAATGTGTTTTTGGCAATTGCTGTTGATAATTTAACAAATGCACAAGAAATTAGCGAAGATGAGGCTTCAGAAGAAAAAGCTAGATTGCAACATAATAAAGAGGTAAAACAGAAATAGGGGAAAGCGGGGCAACATGGCGAACGTTTTGAAAGCCCTGAGTTATTGCAAAACTATCAGTCGTGAAGTAATAATACTTTCTGAGTATGTTTATGTTATTAAAATCCTTTATTGCCTGCATGAATTTTCTGTTTGCAAATATAACAATTTGAAATAAATATTAAAATACAAAGTTCATAAATTTGTCATCTGATCACGTGACCGGGGCAAGATGATTTATTATGCTATTTTTACCTCCAATTTTATAAAATTTTAAAACCTACCAATATCTTTAAATAAAGTAACAAAAAATAAACACAAATTGCAAAAACTACTTCTAAAGAAGTTAAACTTGAAGGACACCATACATTATGAGAAACCGAAAGAGAGAAATTTTTTTTTAAGCGCAAAAAGTATACTTATGTGTGTAAAATTGCGTTAATAATATTTCAAAAAACCAATTGGTGTTTTAAAATACAAGATGCAAATACAGTTTCGTTTTCACTCAATTTTAAGAATTTTTGTTAAGTTGTTATATGAAAACCCATCTTGCCCCATTCGCCATGTTGCCCCGCTTTCCCCTATGCACCAAAAACAATGGAAACGTATGTTTTTCTTTTATTTCTGTGTTAATAACAGCTATTGTAATTGTATAATTTAAAAAATAAAAATATTTTAATAAAAATATTTTTTTTGTTAGTGCATATTAATTGTTTTCTTAAATTTGGCATATTTAATTCTCTATTTTTCATCTTTTTTTAATCAATTTCAATGTTTAAATCTATTCCATCTATGCCAATGTTTAAATCTATTCCATCTATGCCAATGTTTAAATCTATTCCATGTTGGAATAGATTTAAACGTTTATAAGAATTTTATTCAACATAACGTTTTGTAAAATGTAGCAAGTAATATCAGTGTTGTTTAGAAAATACCCCATATATAAAAATTGTATTTAACATAAAAAATAGTAAAATAAAGCAAACAATGTCAATATGTCACTTTAAATAAAATATAACCTATGTATAACAATCGTATACAACAAGTACAGCATGTAAAATCAATTTGTTACCTAGATTATCGCATGTAAGAAATTTATCCCATATAAAACAGTAAAATCTAGCATATTAAATCAATTTTCATCTTAGAATATCATTTTTTGCATTTATAACAATTGTATCCGACATGAAACTTGTTAACATATAGTATACAATACTAATATGTTACTTAGAATATCATATCCCATATCTATAACATTCGTATCTGACATAAAACTTGGTAAAATATATACGTATAATATAAATATGTTATTTTGAATATCATATCTCCAATGTATAACAACCGTATCTGACATATGCTATTTTGAATATAATATCTCTCATGTATAACAACCGTATCTGACATATCACTTTGTAAAATGATGCGTATGTCACTTTGTATATTAGAGTATCATATCTCTTATGTATGAATATCTTATCCGACAAAAACTTAGTAACATATAGCTTATATAATCAGTTTTTATTTTAGAATATCATATTCTCTATGTATAACAGTCGTATCTGATATAAAATTTTTATATCAGATATAAAATCTGATATAAAATTAGTAAAACATTGCTTATAAAATTGGTTTTTATCTTAGATTATCATATCCCTTATGTATAACAGTCGTATCTGATATAAAAATTAGTAAAATGTAGCCTATAAAATCAATTTTTATCTTAAATTATCATATTCTCCATGTATAACATTCTTAGAATATCATATTATGTTTAAATCCTGTATATATAGCTACTATAAAAGTTGCTTATATTTGTTTTTTTTCGGACGGCTTAGATACAATTTTAAATGCTGTAACTTTAAATCGACTCTGCGTTTTCAGTTTTTTTTACTGGGATATAATATTCTAGGCCGCTACGATGTTCTATTAAGAAAGTTCTATTAAGTAAAGGTGAGTTTCCACTCATCCGTTTTTTCACGGGAACGGGATAGGAAAGGAAAAAATAATCACGTGAGCATGCGTAATAAAAGTTTTTATTTGTCCGAAAGAAAACTGCGCATGCTCGCGTGATTATTTTTCCGTTCCCTTTCCCGTAGAAAAACGGATGAGTGGGAAAGGAAAGGGAAAATATTCACGTGAGTATGCGTAGTATAAGTTTTAATTTTAATACCCCTCCCGTTCCTTTCCTTCTTTAAAAAAAATATATATATATTTAATGAATAAAAAACATCTTTCTTTTTGCTTTTTTGAAGTAATTAAATTTATTTAAAAAAGTAACTTTGTTGATGTCAGCTTTGATGACATCAACAAAGTTACATTGTTGAAAAAGTAACATTGTTGATGTCAACTAATAAATAATAAAAAATATATACTTTTAAAAATGGGTTGTACAGAAAAAGCTCCACCAAATACGGATTAGGGGAAAAGAAAAGAATGTACACTCACTACAACTATCCCTAAATCAGTGGATGTATGTATACTCAATGCGCCTATCCCTATATCAGTCGATGTTTGTAAATAATAAACATCAATCATTGACGTTTATTCTTTACAAACATCGACTGATATAGGGATAGGTGCAGTGAGTATACATACATCCACTTAGGAATATACATACATCCATTTAGGGATAGTTGAGTGTACATTCATCATTGTGAGTGTACATACATGCATTAGTGAGTGTACATACATCATACATTGATTCAATGTAACTTTCAATATACAACAATAATATAACTTTCAATAAAAGTATTGTTAAAAAATATTTAAAGATTCTGGATGGAGGACTCGATCCCATATCACTCTGAGATACAGGCAAATGAGTTTCCGCAATGCTAAGTGCACAACTTATGTTTGCAATTCTTTTTAAATTTGTACAAATAAAACTTTCAAAATCAACAAAGAAGATGCTGCTTAGGAATTAGAAACTCCTCAAAAATTTCCAATTCCCGAGGAGTTAATGAAGGGCAAACCTAAATTGTCTGTGAAAACTATGCAAAACAATCTGGATGTTACCAATGACTCTTCAGAAAGGAATATAAAGTTGATCCAAGATTTTATTATGCCATACCAAAACGAAGACATTAAACAAAATGTATTGTTCTTTTCCAAAAACTACAGAAAAATTAAAAAAAAAAATCTACCTAAAACCCAGCTACATTGAATTTAAAGAGCTTATTTTTTCAACCTTTCTTTCAAAGATTTTTTAACATATGTAGCAAAAGTTTTACAGCACATTTCTTTTATTATAACAAATGTTTAACAAGAAGAAATTTTCTTAATAATTACAAGATTATTTTAAAAATAAGGAAAATTCGAATATTTTTGAAAAAAATTTTTTTTGACTTTATTTGTTAAATTATAAAAATCTTGTGTATTAGGTCATAATAGATCAAGTAACCAAGTTCTAGTTAGATGATGCACATTTCAATTTTAATGAAATATTTTTTTTTGAGACACCCAAATGTATATTGAACTATACTGTAATACAACATTTTCAAATGTATATTGAACTGTAATACAACATTTTTTAAATTATTTTTATCGAGATATAGAAATAATAATTATATGCAGTTTATTTGCCTACATAACTATTTATATAATTTTTATAATTTTTAATTTTAAAAAATTGTTAAACAATGTGAAATTTTTCAAACTTAAAATTATTTTAACGTACAATACAGTATTTATTTACTAGTAAAATAAAAATATGCACATTAATAGGGTTCAAAATGGACCTCTTCTGCAGCCTACCTATCCCCGAGTGTACACACACGATCAAATGCTTCTATTTTTTAAAGTTATAGTTAGCTCAACTTATGTAAATCAGGGAAAATATTTAATTCTTTGTAAATGTTTTGTTCAAAGTCTTCTTTGTTTTCTAAAAATACCTTTGTTACATTGTCTTTATCAAATATTAATTTTTTAAAGGTTTTCTCTTCATTATCATAGATAAATCCGATTCTACCAAACTCTGTTGTTTTGCCACAAAGTATATAGCGGTCTCTAATTCTCATTAATCCTGGGTAATTTATAAAGGTAGCGTAAAAGTTTGCAGTTTGATCAGTATCAATAAATTGCGGAATGGAGTCAACGGTTTTATTAAACCGATAAAAAGTTAGTAATTCATTTTGTCTTTCCATACTCAAAATGTAAAAACTATCCTCACACGTTAATACGTATTTTTCTCCTTGAACTAAAACTTCTTCCGTTTTCATAAAAGAAAATGGAAGTGGTTCTTTAATGCTGTTATATCCAAAACCAACATCTACTAGAAACTTAATATTTTCATAAAAAACTATTATTATGTTATGTGAACGAGGTGCGTTTTCATTAAATGGTAAATTATTCAACACGGTTGCTGGGGTTCGATATGCTTTAAATCCAAAAGAAGTTAAAGCGTGCCATAAGAGCTCTGAAGTTTCGTAGCACATTCCTCCTAACTTTTTGATTAAAAGTCGTTCCTGTAAAGATTTAATTGACAAATCCAATGTTGAAGTGGCTAAATAAACACCAGTATTTTGATAAGGAATAACTTGAGAGTGCTTCTTTACTATGTCATATAGCAAACTTTTATTAGGTTGTATTGCGTCAATATGATCCAAGTAATCTGTTAGATTCAAACTTTTTAGGTACAACTCCTTGTCAAAAGTAGATTCAGTCATTTTTTTTTTTAAAAAAAGCCAATGTTTTTTTGCGTTTTTTAGCTTGTTAGTTTATCAACAAAAATAACTGAATTAAAACGAATTATATAACATATCTTTATTACGATATTTGATAGCAGAAAATATTTATATGATGTTTGGATTTAAACGGATTAATAGTAGAGTATTTGAAGTTTTGTTTACATTAAATAATAAGTTTAACGGAAAGCTTAAAATTTAAGTTTGTTATTAAGTTTTGTATATATATATATATATATATATATATATATATATATATATATATATATATATATATATATATATATATATATATATATATATATATATATATATATATATATATATATATATATATATATATATATATATATATCAAAGCGTGTTTTTTGGTATATATATATATATATCATATATATCATATATATATACATATATATATATATATATATATATATATATATATATATATATATATATATATATCAAAGCGTGTTTTTTGGTATATATATATATATATCATATATATCATATATATATATATATATATATATATATATATATATATATATATATATATATATATATATATATATATATATATATATATATATATATATATATATATATATATATATATGTATATATCAAAAAACATGTGTTTTATATGCATTAACTTTTGAAATTGAAATAAAAAACAAAATGAAATTCTATATTATCATTTTTTCTTGTTTCTACCTTTTTACCCTTAGTTCTCCGTAATGGTGTTGTACGTTGAGTTATTACTTTTAGTAATTAATTTAACAGCTTTAGCTGTTAACCTAAACAAAATATTGGTTATCGTATTCTATAATTTGTAAAAAATGTTACCCTCTAATAGCAACTGATGGTAATTAATATTAAATAAAGCAACAAACTTTGATAAATTTTATATTTATTATGTTATCATATAAAACTATTTTGCATTAAATACACCTAAAGAAAAAAAAAATGTCTGCTCTAGAAAAATTGAAAAAAAAAAAGAATTAAAATAAAATGCATTTTGGTATTTCTAAATTTTATAAGTAGAATCAATAAAATCAAATGTTATTTTACCATACAAAATATTATGAGAAAACTCCGAAATCCATTTCCTGGATCCATTTTTTTTGCATTATAAAAATTTAATAATACAAAAATATAAATATATATTAAATATAATCTAGACTTGTACAGCCGAAATAGCTCAGTTGGGAGAGCGTCAGACTGAAGATCTGAAGGTCCCTGGTTCAATCCCGGGTTTCGGCAATTTATGTTTCTTTCGTCGATGAATATTTTGTATACTGTATGGCTTTTTGTTTGCATAATCAAGAAAAGCTTAAGGATCCATAAATAGGCGCATTCCTAAGATGCATGAAGTAATGTTCTCGGGCGACATAAAACGTAAACATTAGGATTGAGTAGTTTTTTTTACCATAAAATCGCCTTAGTTCAGTCTTCGGTCTTAGTTCAGTCTTTCGGCCTTAGTTCAGTCTTTCGCTCAGTAACTTCGGTCATTTAAGAAAATATATAAAAAACATGCAAAACTCAAATTTAAAAAAACTTTTTTTCTCAAATAATATTTGTAATTAGTTCGTAAATATGAATCCATAAAAAAAATAATGTTTAAATGTAACCTGCTAAAATAATTATTTAGGAAAACAACAGTTTGAAAAATGCATACTATTAAAAATCTAAAAAAAAGCAAATTATTAAAATAAATGACATCTTTAATCTTAGTATTATTAAAAATCACCAAATAAATTTACAAAAAGAAAAATGATTAGTTTTTGAAAATTAATTACTTTTTTTATAAAAATTATTGAAGTTTTGAAATACTCCAGCTTCATTCATTCACCGATTCATTCATTCACCATTCATTCATCCAGCTTCATTCATTCACCGATTAGGGATCATCCACAAATTACGTAACGCAAACTTTCACAATAAACAAACAAAAAAGATCAACAGGTTTCCCTCGCAGAGTCTAATTTTTAATATAAAATCAAAATATGCTAATTAGTTTAATAAAAATCGCCGAGTAAAATAGCTTAGTATCTCCAACTTCCGTTTTAAAAATAAATTTTGCATTGCGTAATTTATGGACGACCCTAAACAACAAAGGAGACAATGGACCGTTCCCTCTATAGAAAAAAACCGCAATTTATTTCAGTCTTTGTATTCACCGAAAATAAACAAATTAGAGTTAAAACTTTTTAAAATAAGCAGTCAAGTAATTTAATTTAAAAAAGACTTTTCAAAATGATTTCAAATGATGCAATATCTGGTAATAAACTCATTCTATTAAAGAAAATATTACTGTTGAGTCAACAACAAAATACCGCGGTGGCATAACTTGTTATGTTCCATTATGCAACAATAATTCGCTCAAAAACAAAACATTAACATTTTTAAAATGTAAAATGATTTTACATCATTCCAAAGGAAAGTAATTTGAGAAAAAAATTGCTGTAATTAGTAAAAAATCTTTAATTAGTAGGAAAAACTTTATTCCTTCTATTTTTTATCAGGTTTGTTCAGTCCACTTTACAGGAGAAAAAAAGACTAATATGAACAACTGTCCATCTTTACTGCCAAAACAAGTTAAAGACAGCATAAAAACACCAAGAATCACAGTAAATAGTTCTATTGGATATAAAAGAAAAATAGACAAAATTGAAAACGAAAAAAATGACGTTAATTTTTCATTCGAAGAAACGCCTGAAAAGTTAAAAGGAAATTATTATCCTAAAGGATAAACTGAACATTATAAAAACTAAAAAGAAAGAAATGAAAAATATTATTATGAACAAAATCACACTATCAACCAATTAAATTTTACAGTGGACAGATTGAAACATAATCAACCCCACTTTAAATTTTATACTGACTTTGAATCGTACAATCTATTTAAAGTTCTACTAAAATATTTAGAACCTGCTGAAATTAAATCTGTCTTAAACAGATTTAACTTTTTCCAGATAAAAAAAATGTTTGTAAAAAATATAAAAAATTTCAATCTAAACTGCAAATATATTTTCTTGCATAAACTCAAAGTAAAATTTATCAATTTTGGCAAAGTAGATTTTTCCCATTACTCTTTTAGAAATTTAATACTCTCAATAAAACATCTTTTTCAGTATAAACTAAAAAATCTGGTTCTTTTATTTCTAATAATGCCATAACATCTTGACATTGATAAAAATAAACATGATTTTGTTTAAGCATTGTTTTGCCATCAACAGAGCAAGAAAAAATGTTTTAACTAGGCAAGCTTCAACTACATGTAAATCTTTTTTATGAATATGGACATTTGATTTCAACAGCCTTTATTTTTTCATTTACTAATACAATTCCATCTAGGGTTTTTTATTTTTTTTTTTTTTTTTTTTTTTTACATTTATTTTGCTGTTTAACAAATACAGGGTGGCCCATAAGTCACTTTACATTTTAAAAATTAAATAACTTTTTTTCTATTAATTTATTTCTATTTCTCTTTTTAGAATTAAAAAATATAATCTTTGGAAATTTTTAGTATGGATACGTTTACAATAGAACAACGAGTGAAGATAAGTGAATTTTACTTTGAAAATGAACGGTCAATTGTTGCAACGCAAAGATCGTATATGCGCCATTTTAATGTTCGACATCTCCCTAGTAGGCCTGCAATAATGAACTTAGTGACGCGTTTTTAAGAGCATGGCTCTGTAAGTGATAGGACTAAAAGTGGACGAGGTCGTTCAGTACGTACATGTGAAAATACTGAAGCTGTGAGCCGTAGCATTGAAGAGAACCCAACCACATCCACTCAAAGGCGTTCTCAAGAACTTGGCATTTCACGGAGTTCTCTGCAGCGCATTCAAAGAGACTTGCACATGTACCCTTACAAGATTCAATTAGTGCAATCTTTACAACCACCAGATTTTCAGAAACGACTAAATTATGCTGTCAGGTTTCAGAGAACTGCAAGAAATGACAATGAGTTTATTCACAAGTTGATCATGGGAGATGAAGCTCATTTCCATTTGAACGGACATGTGAATAAGCAGAATATGAGATTTTGGGGCACCGAAAATCCACACCAAGGTCATGCGAGTCCATTACACTCAGTTAAAGTCACAACATGGTGTGGAGTAACATCAGAAAAGGTTATTGTGCCCTTCTTCTTTGAAGATGTAAATGAAAATGCTGTGACTGTAACTGCTGAGAAATATCAAGACATGCTAGCGAGTTTTGTTCAACCTCAGTTAGCAAACATGGCAGGGTATTAGTGGCAACAAGATGGAGCAACTGCACATACCGCTAGAGCCACAATGCAGTTGTTAACTGCAATGTTTCAGGATCAGATAATCTCTCTTAAATTCGATTTTGAATGGCCTCCACGTTCTCCTGATTTGACAGCACCAGACTTTTGGCTTTGGGGATATCTTAAAGACAAAGTGTAATAATAATAAGCCCCAAACTATTCAAGATCTTAAGGCAAACATACGACAGGAATTTCTTTTCCTACAACCTTAGATGTTAAGAAGTGTTGTGGAGAATAGCTTAAAAAGAGCTCGACATTGTGAAGACGAGAATGGAGGCTATTTAAGAGACATTATCTTTCGTAACTAAGTCAGAACTAACTTACAGATTCTAAACTTTGTAATAAAAAAAGAAATAATTAAATACAGTCGTTTAATAAAAAGTTATTTAATTTTTAAAATGTAAAGTGACTTATGGGCCACCCTGTATAATCAACACATATATATACAAGAAAGAAAAAAATATGTCCGTATAACAAAGAAGACAGTAAAATCTTGTCAACAAGCACCGTTTTTGTATATACAGTATATAAAATAAACTATACTTTTTTACAATGATCTTTATAAAATAAAGAGTTAAACAGACAGGGGCTCAAAGAAGATGAAGATGACAAAACGCAATCGCAATCTTTTCATAGAGCCCCCTATATACATTTTCATTAGGTTATGGATATTAAATTAAATTAAAAACCCTAATGGGCATAAAACTGCTGCGCTGATCAATAAAAACAAATAAATAAGATTATAAAGAAAATTACTTTGTAATCCTTTTAAGC